ATGCCTTTCCCAATATCCACCTAACTAAGTGCAGACTAGCTAGCTCTAGAGCTCCTCTGCCAGATATGCAGTCTGTAGTCATTACATTTAAATTATGACTCAAAGCCAACAGGCCATACAGCCAATGGCAACCACAGTGGACAGTGCAGAAAGTTCCATGAGACAGCATAGCTCCAGCACAGCCAGCCCTTCACTCTCAGTTCTGGAACTCAGGCCTACTGAGGCTGCCTCCTCCAGCTGGAAACACTGCTTTACCAATATAAGACTGAAACTCTACAGCATCTTCAGATAGCTTCCTAGAGTAGCTGTACCCTACATGAGTGGCACATGCCTCTTCCCTGGCTGATTTTAGAATCATAACACCAAAAAGGGTTTTCTTTTTTCAATCAGTATAGTTCTAACTCCAAATGTACTTGTAACATGAAAACTAAATACTACTACAAAGATAGCCTCATAAACCTGACAGTCAAAGTATGTAACAAATTCACCAGAGCTGAGATTGTATATATGCAAAATGGCATAATAAGGTGGCTCTTGGGCCAGTAGAAATCCTGGTAGCATATGAAACAATGACCTGGGGCTTTAAGTGGAGTCCTCCTGGACAAAGGGTCACCTGTTCCATCAGTGCAATAGACAGACACTGCCCTTTTATAGAGGGAAAAACATTAAGCTCCTGTGATCTAATGATATCAAAACCTGGGTCATAGAGTCTAACATGGTCACTAAACTGTTTTACTTTAGGATCATAGTTAGCTGACAGCAGTACATTCAACAAAAGCAAAGCATGTATTTAAAAAATTGATTATTGATTAAAGGCAAGGCATTCCTTCAATTCTGTGTTTTCACAACAGCAAACAAACAATAATAATGGCAAGCACTCTTACAGCCAGGTAGGAAGGCTAAAATATAGCAGGCCTAACTAACATAATCCCATCTACACAGATGAGAGGAAGCATGCATACATGAATTTCCAAAAACATCTGGAAGAACGTACATAGACTATTAACTTTGGTTCTTAGTGGTGACTATTACTTTAGTAATTTAAATTTCTTAAGTTCTTTTCCTATTTGCTTTCTATCTGCTATAGATTTCTTCTAAATAAAAAAAAGAGCAGGGAAGGGGGCTGGAGAGACAGCTCAGCGAGCACTGGTTGCTCTTGCAGAGGACCGGAGGTCGATTCTCAGCGCCCATATAAAGGCTAGCAACTATCCTTAACTCTAGTCCCAGGGGATCTGACACCCTCTATTGTCTTCCACGGGTATTGCATAACACAGGTGCACTTACAAACATGCAGGCAATATACTCATGCACATAAAATAAAAATAAATAAATTAAAAAAAAAACAAAAGGACCAGGGTGAAAAACACCTTAGAAAACCTTAGGATGTTTTTCTTTGGCTCTATGTCATTTATAAATGATCCTTATCACAAAATTTCTTTCATTCTCTTAAGAAGCATTGAATTTTATCATTGTTTCTACTGAGAAAATAATATATAATATACTTTGCCAATAAACCTTGTGGGTATTCACATTGAATTGAATATAATTTTTTGTAGAGGGTTATTTTTTGACTCTTGCTGGAACTATGTCTCTTCAACCAGAAATACTTTCCTCAATTTAAAATACAACCAGTGCTTTTATAGACTTTTGGAATGGACTGCTGAAAGTTCTGCCACACAGTACAAACATGGGCTTCTGCTTTTCTCCCGGGGAAGGAAATCTTTATTGTGATCACCTATTAACATCAAACTTTGTCCCTTCTTCCCAGTTATGACCCTGTTTTCCATGTCCCTTCTTGTCACCCCATTCCTGAAGCCATTCATGAGGGAAGCAACCTTGCATCTTGCATGACACTGTAAAATACTAACTCATGCAAGTACTTGAGCAAGTTGCTTCTTAGTCTGAGCTTTTTTACATGCAGGGAAAGTGAGACTAAGACCATGCAGGCAGACTAGAAGGTTCTGTAACCATGTGGAGGACTGGGGCTGCATCATTCCCTACTCAGAGTCCCAAGCAGAACAGAGTAAGCACAGACATCTTTCCTCTCCGTTCTGCTGTTTTGCCTACTCACTCTTGTGGGCTCTCTACTTCGGAGGCCTTACTGGGAGCCACTAGAGGATACCCAACTCCACTTGGACAAATTATAAAGCATATTTATGCTGGTCTCAAAACATTCACTTTTCACTCTTCTGCTGCCACTGGTGGCCAACCACTCTTCTTCCTCCAGCAGGTTCTAGATCAGGTGTCCATCTTTTTATTACTTTTCGTTTTGTTCTACCTCCAAAATGGTTTCTAATAAATCCTAGTCATAAATCTCTCTCCTTATTGTGCCAGATTTCTTCCTTCATGTCTAGATAATGTTCAGAGAAACTGTCACAGAAAGCTCAAGTAGATGCTAGAACCAAGTGACGAAGGCAGTGTTAAGAACATGTGAATGTCCCAGGGTTTTATGAAAAAAGGTAAAAAAAAAAAAAAGACACAGATTATAACTTGCAACCTTCTCAAAGGACTAGCCAGATAATTTTTTATATTAAAGTCAGGAGATTTTTTTAAAGACTTATTTTTATTTGTACAAGTGTTTGGATTGCCTGTATGTATACTGGTATTGTAGAGTGCCCACAAAGCCTGGAAGAGAGTGGCAGAGCTGCCATGTGGGTGCTGGGAACTGAACCCAGGTCCTCTGTAAGAAAAAAAGTGCTCTTAACCCCTGAGCCACCTCTCCAGCCCCAAAGTAAGGATATTTTTTACAAAAATTTTCATTTCTACAATTTTGCTTAATAAATATTGCCAAAAAATCACACTGCAAACCCATTAACTCTATCATTAAATCTTGTTTAACTATATTGAAATCCTGTTAAAAAGACAAAAATCTAACTTTTTGAGTGAAAAAAACACTATAATTACAGTAATTGTCTCCAAAATAATGTATTTCAAGTAAAAGCCAAAGGGGGGGGGGATCACAGAGTAAACTCATTAATGACTTGATACTTAAATAGTATTAGGTAAAATAATAAGCATTTATTTATGAATCTAAATAAATAAATTCCAGTAAAACTACTTTTCAGTAATTCTTGGAGCAGAATTTCTGGTTCTATACTTAAATGAGCTTTCACACTAACTTCCCACTAACTTCACACTCAGCACATTATCTGTATTCCAGCTATAATGTGAACTTACTATTGCTACTTATCCCTCCTCATCTCTCCACCGTTACTAGTACTGTTTTGTCTGCTCAGCATATGCCATTCTTCCCATTCTAATTTGGAAAACCTTCTATCCTTCAGGCTCTTCAGTGTGCTTTTGCACAAAGAACCTTGGACTAGCATTCAAGAACTCTGAGCTAGAGTACTGTATCCACCATTTATTTACCATAGAAACTTAAAAGGCCATTTAGCATCCCTTGATTTTAATACCTATCTACAAAATAAAGGAATTTGGCAAGCTGATTCCTGTAATAAAAGACAACAGATAACCCTCAAGTCTGAGTTTGTTACAAGTGTTTGCCTAGAAACCCAACCTTCATTTCTCCCAAGATCATGGTTAAAAATTAAGTTAGGAAAACACTGGGTTTTTTTACACCAGTTACTTCTGCCCAGTAAAGAGCCAGACTAATATCTGTTTCCAGAACAGTGAGGCTGGGGAACCAGGGAGAATAAGAAGTATAAAGAACTCCATAAAGACACAAAATGAAAGTTCTCATACTTAGCAAAAAAGCCAATGTGGCTAAAAACTAGAAACACCTTGAGGAAATTAGAGACACCTAGAAAGACAAAACATCCATTTAGAAGCACACCCATGATCTTTTACCTTGGATTTGTCTCCAAACATTTGTTTCCTTATTCTTTGACATCAAAGAAATATCATGCCATCTCGGTCTGCAGATGTCTTTTGTTTTCTGTGATTCAAATCACACTTTCTCCTTCTTCATCAAGCTCTTAACTCTTCTAACTAGAATTTACCAATCCTCTGAACTTCATAGAACTTACAGTTTATATCAACAAACCATTGGTTTCCTCTGAGGAGTCAGTATTTAGCTATATATTTCTATCTCTAATTCCTTACTTTTACTTCAAGACCCTATTATCTAGGGTGAGATATGATAGCTGAATAAATTAATTCTTATAATCAGATCTTACATAGAGAAAGCAATTACACATTATATGAAAAGAAAATAACAATTTTACAAAGATTAAAGGACTACAGTTAGGTTTTATAGTTTAGATAAACTATGTTAATCTTTATATTTTCCTATTCATCTGTGTTACTGGGACTCTATTGCTATATATAACATAAAAGGAGTCTCAAACTACTTCAAACATTCTCTTACTTATAAACATCTATTACTTTCCTATCCCATACAATAGGATGACAGATAGTCATATGATGACATGCTGAAGGGAGTTCCAAGGCACTCAGATTGAATGGTGGTCAGGGAACTTTTGACACTAAATATAACTTTGATATATAACACTTTCAAAAAGCAGCAAGGACTAGATGCTTATGTCCTACTATTACAAAGAAACTTTACCTTAACTCTGCCTAAGTCACAAACCATACTATCTAGGTGTTCATGCATTAACATGTCACAATACACTAGAATTATAATAATAAAACCTATTTGGAAAAGTTTCAACACAGAAGGGAATATGCTCCATCGTCTGGCTTCCAAGTGGCCTATGCTGCTAAAGTAGAAGCACTGTGTATTCCACTTCTGTTTCTTTTATGGCATGTGAAAATACTCCCCTGACAGAAATATGCAATGAAAAGAGAGTAGACACTCAAATGAGCTACAGTGTGCAGAACACAAAAGCAAGGAAAAGCACATTTGCCCGCATGGAGCACAAGGAGAAGCTTCAGAAAGCACATGGAAAGCTAAAAGACAAGGGGAAGCAACTTACATAAGGAAAACAAACAACCATAGCAGATTCGATATTAATGACTAGAATAAAAAGCAAAGCAATGGAACAAAACAGCAAAAGACAGAAGAACACGTGACTTACAGAAATTCTTCTCCAGGGTGTTTGGGTGTATTTATCAGCATATGTGCATTTTTCATCTTTAGATTTCTGGTGGCAATTACACCTGGTTGCCTGAACAAAACCACAAATACTTATTATGGCTTAATTTTGCACATACACAGGTAATTAACAGCTGTGTTAGAAGGTACAAAATAAACTGACACAAAGTCACACATTGTAAGGTAGGTCCCGCACTTTTATGATAGCAGTGTCTACAGTAAACATCAAGGTCTATTCAGTTCTCAGCTTTTCAGAGACTGGGTTTGAGAGAAAGCCAGTAAGCTCGAATTTCAAAAAGTCCAAATTTCTCTTGGTGCTCTCTTAAACTGTCCAAAAAACACACTATATTTAATTTTATGCAATAAACATAGACATTATCAAGTACATAGATGCAGAATGTATGTAACAAAACACAGTATGTAAAGAACGTTACTGCAAAATCTGTGTGATCTCTCTAAAGTACTATGGTTGTAGAATGCTGTGGTCTGATCCTAGTAGCAATCATCTTCATCGAAGTTGCTATGACTACAATGAAGAACCTTCAAGATCCCGCCAGCTGACACTCCTTCATGAGAGGGGTTGGGACCTCCCCTGATATTCCAGCCACTCCCTCCTGCACCTCCCAGCCAACTGTATAAAATTCTGCCCTAATGACTTGTGGCCTTGTGAACAATTATAATCTGTGGAAGGTTAACTGAAGGTAGGACTCCATTTAGGCAGTTATGGGGAAGTCATCATCGATGCAGAGGTGAGGCTGGTGCAGCTGGTGTAACCCCTCACCTATGCTGTGTAAGTCTAGCAGACTCACTAGGTTTTCAAGCTGGACTTTGGTGGAACTGTACTTGAATTTATGGTGCCCTATAAGGAGGGTAGATAGTTTATGACTCTCCAGGGAAAGAGTTCCTACAAGTATTACAGACCCAGTTTCTTAAATAGATTTTTCATGGACACTTCTGGATATTAAACACCACAGGTCTGATTGTCTGCTTCTGTGAGTTGTGCTAAAACAGCAAAGCACATTCTTTAACAGTTAAAATATTTTTAAGATTTATTTCATTTTTATGTGTATAAGTGCTTTGCCGGAATGTATATTTTTAATATTTTATTTATTGGTTTTTTATTTCTTTTTATGTGTATGAGTGTATTGCCTGCATGTATGTGAGTGCACCCATGCTGTGCAATGCCATGGAGGTCAGAAAAGGGCTTCAGAGTCCCCTGGAACTGGAGTTAAGGACGGTTCACAGTCGCCATGTGGGTACTGGGAATCGAACCTGGATCCTCTGCAAGAGCAGTCAGTGGTCTTAACTGCTGAGCCATCTCTCCAGCCCCTGCCTGAATGTATTTAAGGGCACCATGTGTGTGCAATGCCCACAGAGGACAGAGGAAGGTTTCAGATCCCCTGGAACTCGAATTGCAGATGGTTGAGGGCTGTGACATGGGTGCTGGAAATCAAACCCCTGGTGCTAAGAGCAGTAAATGGATCTTCTGGAACTAAAGCTATGGACAGCTGTTAGTCGCCATGTGGCTGCTGGGAACTGAACCCAGGTCCTCTGCAAGAACAGCCAGTGCTCTTAACCACTGAGCCATTTCTCCAGCCCCATATTCAAACAAATTTTAACATACAAATGATGAACACGTATATGAAATAAAATGATCAATAGCTTTCTCCAATTAGTGATCAAGAAATTCATCAAAGTCTAGTGTGGAGGTGAGTTCCAGGCAAGTCTGATCAAAAAAATGAGTTCCAGGCAAGCAAAAAAAACACACACCAAGATGGCCTTGGTGGTGTAGACCTATGATTACAACATTTGGGAGGCTGAGGCACTGGGAGACTGAAGGCACAATCATAAATTCCAGGTCACCTGAGCTACATGAGATCCTGACTCAGAAGACAAAGACGTCTATCTCATAGTCATTCCTTTTCATTTTCTTATTCTTGGGTTATTTTTTTATTATCTCTCTGTCACTGGAATATATTTTTAGGCATGTATTATTAGATAGACTTTATCAAGATGGCTGGATGACATATTTTAGGATGTTAAAAGTATGAATATTTATGCTGGACGTGGTAGTGCACGCCTTTAATCCCAGCCCTCCAGAGGCAGAGGCAGGTGAACCTTTGTGAGATGGATGCCAGCCTGGTCCACATAATGACTTCCAAGTGAGCAGGGACTAAAGAGACCCTATTAACAGAAACATAACATAAAAAACTAAAGTATGAATATTTAACCTTTTATATAAATAAAACCTGTCCTATTATAAAATACACAGTTCATAACCTTCTTTTCTATGAGTACTAGACACTGCTACTTACTTTCGCAAACACTGAAGTCAACTTAATTTTCCTAATACTATCTTTTTTCTTCTTCTCTGAAAGGGGGTTAGGCCCCTGTCTTTAGCTAAAGAATATAAGGTTTCACATTCAATTTTATTATTTTCCTTTTTAATTTTATATTTGGTGGGACCTCAATTTGTAATATTAGTCATTCTTTATTCAGATTCACAAATTTTCTGTAGATCTTTAATCATATCTGAACTGTCTATTCGTATTTGTTCATGACCTGGATATCTGTGATCTGACTTTAGTGGCACAGAGTTCACTATATTATATCCTTTAAGCTCTGAGGGAAATTAATATTTCATAAAGGTAAATAGCTGTTACACTAAATTTTTTTAAGTTGCAATAAAGATTTCCTTTGATTTTTATGATTTTATGCAGTATGCTCTTTTTACCTGGCATTTTATATTATCACAAACTATATCATGATTTTATTTAAGGTGCCATACATATATAGCTTTCTTATGGCATTAATAATAGAAATTGCAACCATTATAAAATGATGATTATTTTATTAAATCTGACTGCAGGGGTCACTGAACATCATCCCCAGAGATGAAATAGATCCTTAGAATCCCAAACACCTGGTGTCCTCTGCTCAGAGAGAACCCACAGATACTCCTTTCTTTAAACATGTCTGGAAAAAAGAAACAAAAAAAGCCATTTACTCTGCATCAAAAGTAAACTGGAGAATTTTAAATTCCTTGAAAAGAAGTCATCGAAAATGGATCAACAAAGCTAGGCATGGCAGTGCATGCCTTTGATCCTGGCACCTGGGAGGCAGAGACAGAAACAGGTAAATCTCTCTGAGATCAAGGCCAACCTGTTCTACATAGGGAGTTCCAGGCCAGCTGCAGCTGCAGGGAGACCTTGTCTCAAAAATCAAAACAAGAGGAATTATTCATAGTGAGTACTTCATAATTTATTATTTTATCTATTATTTTTATTTTATGTGTATGGGTATATTGCCTGCATGTAAGTGTACCATGTTGTGCAATGCCTGTGGAGGTCAGAAGAGTGTGTCAGATCCCCTGGAACTGAAGTTATGGACAGTTGTTGGTCACCATGTGGGTGCTGGGCATCGAACCTGAGTTCTCTGCAAGAGCAGCCGCTGCTTTTAACTGCTGAGTCACCTCTCCAGCCCAAGTACTTCATATTTTAGTTCAAAGTTAAACTACCTACTTAATTGGAACACACAGAATCTAAACATGATGCAACAGGCAACTCTGAAGCTAAAACTAAAGTCAAACGCTAATTCTGACTCAAAGTCTTATAAAAGCACATACTGACCCACTTTCAAGACCTTCCATTTTATGTATTCTACATTATAATACTCACTAGCTGATTTTCTAATAGTTGAATCTTTTCATCTTTTTTCTTTATTTCTTCTTTAAGTTGTTTGATTTCATTTAATAAATCTTCATTCTGAAATATTAAAAAAGTAATGTAAAATATCCTAATGAGAAGCATTAAATCAATGAAATCAAGTAATGAATAAACTATTCATTTAAAAGGAAACCCTCTGCTAATGTTTTAAAAAAGATTTCATGGTCTAATGACAACAGACATGTAAACAATGGATAAAAAATGGAAGTGACAGCTAATATTCATTGAGTTCTTACTGGGTATCAGGCACTAAATACTTTGGACATTTCAGCATTCTGACTAAAGTATGTACTTTAATTCCCTTTTATTGATACAATAAAGAAACTATGTCAAAGGTTATACAATAAAGGAAATAAGATGCAAAACAGCAGCTTCAACTACAATTTGAAGGACACATAAAAGTTGTCTGTCAGAGAGAACAGAGGACAGGACAAACACAAGGACATTATAACTAATGTACCAGAGAAATATTATGACTGGCTCAGAAAGCAACCAATGGTAAGAGTAACAAGGGACATTCTTTTGCAGTGAGCCACTTTCCTGAAGAGTGCTATGTGAATTAAAGAGAAAATAGCCAATTTTATCAACTATGCCCAGAACTGTTAAATGAAAGCCTACTGTCAAGTTAAACAGTATTCTGGTTACATTTCCAAATATAAAGTATTGTTTACTTATCATTAGCCCAGTTTGTATACCATTGTTCAATTATACACACACATACGAGTAGTTTAAGCAAAGAATTTAGAATATAATGTACTAGAGAAATTTTCCAGAAAGAAAACTATGTAAGGAAATAATGACAATGTGTTGTTACTTGCACAAACTATATCATCTCCTTCAGTTACAATGAAAACAAACAAAAAAACTCAGGGTGAATAAAATCCAAATAATTATATACACATATAAAATTATCAAAGAATAAATTAACATTTTTCTAATTCACTTGATGAGATTACAAAATAAACATTATGCAGTTTTTTTGTTTTTTTTGGTTTTTTTTTTTTGAGACAGTGTCTTACTACATAGCCCTGGATGGTTTGGAATTTATCATGTAGACCAGGCTGACTGGCATCAAACTCACCAGGCTGCCTCTGCCTCTTGATTGCTAGACTTAAAGATATGTGTCACCATGCCTGGCGTGTGTGTGTGTATGTGCACTCACACATGTATGTGCATGATTCGCATTCATTGGTGCACACAAAGAGCATATGTGGTAGTCTGAAGACAACTTTGGGGGAGTCAGCTCTCTCCCTCCACCTTTAGATGGAATTCCAGGATCAAACTCAGGTTGTCAGGCTTAAAACTCAGGCTGTCAACCTTGAGGAATAAGTGCTTTTCCCTACTGAGCCATCTCAGTGTCCTTTACACAAAGGATTTTAAGACATCATGTAAGTAGTCCAAATGACAGGGAAAATAAGATTTTAAAGTATTGAAGGTATTGTTTTATGAATACTAAATCAGAGGAGATATATCCATTAGAAATAACAATATTAGAAAAGAAAATGGTACATCAGACACAGTTAATATCTGAAAGTTTACAACCTTAAACTGTCTTATAAAAGGACAACTCAATGGAACAATATACAGTCATTATTTATGTACTCTTGGGCAGTTTCTATAGTGTTTTAGGGAACAGGCTCAAAAGTAAAATCCAGACACAATGCTGTAGGAATAACTTTTATAAAATGGACAATCTGGACTAATGACTTTTAACCTTGCAATGAAAAAAACTACTAAGTCACTGAACCATGTGCTCTTGTGACCTGGACACCTGACATTGATTCCTCAACTTGTTGCTCTACCAAAATGATGAATGAATGTGAGTATGTTTGAAAATTAACACATGAAAGCACTGAAAGGCAGCAGGCATCTTCATTGAAAACAATGAAGACTGAAAAAAATTGCTTGATATTGTTTGCATGAGATGTTTTAGGCCTAGGGATGAAAGGGCAAGATTGTCTGAAAAAGATGGATCTAAGTTTCTAGTTTCCCCAAATTCCTGCTGGAGAAATGGTTTTGAATGAAAGTATAGGTCTAGCTCAACAACACAGTTCCAGAAGACATATGTACATACGTACGTGGGGGGGGGGCGATAATGGGAACTAGTATTCTCCGAGTTCAGGCCCATGCTTAAAAACTAAAACATACTAGTCAGGCTGTTTTATTCAGGCATAAGTGTAATGTAGCATCATAGTGTCACATAATGTGGTTAAGAACAACAGTAGCACTCACTGTACAGCATGCACTAAGCTAAGAATGTTACGCTATTGAAGAGCCAGAATACTCTGACTCCATTTGGCTAGCTTCTTCAGACAAACCTGGACAAGCTAAAGCATATTGTAAATTTTTCCAGTTGCTACCCCCACAGCCCCCAAGAAGCTATAAATTAAGCAAGCCCTGGACATGTAAAAGCCTTATAAGGTATGAGCAAAAACTTCTGGCCCTAAAAGATATCAGTCAGCATATTCCAATGCCCTGAAGACAGCCGCTACCAATCAAGAGGTCTGCCGTACCCAGGATATGGGGACATGCAATTATTTTAAAAAGATGCTTGGCACACGCGGGTTTCTGTGCCATTCCCCAATAAAAGCCCCTGCCTGCTATTGCTCGGGGCCAGACTCCATCTTTGGGTTGTATAGTCTGTGCCCGGCTAGCTGTCATTTGGTTGTTGTTTGTTGACTTTAAATTCCTGAATAAACTTTTTGTATAATCCTTTTGGGTATCTGTGGGAATTATTCTCGATTCTCAGACCCTAACATTTTGGGGGCTCATTCAGGATTCGAGAATAGAGACCCTAGATCAACAGGAGCGCCCAGACATCCTGGGACTCAACAGAGATCAGGCGGACATGCTATTGATCCCAGAGCTGGAGGAAAACGGGGGAGGCCCTAGTTTCCCTCCTGGATACTGTTCTTTTTACCCACCAACCTACTTTGGATGATTGCCAACAGTTATTGAATATCCTGTTCAACACCGCGGAACGGAACTGCATCCTTCGGGAATGCAGATATGCAGTCCCTGGAAATGATAGGCGACAGACAGAAAATGAGGATTTGATTATGGCTGCTTTCTCCTCTCACGCGCCCAACGGAGGGGTGGGACTATCAACACTCCCGAAGGTAGGGAATGCCTAAAGGTCTATCACCAAATTCTTATGGGAGATCTCCAGGCAGCTGCTAAGTGCCCCACCAATTTGTCTAAGGTCAGTCAGGTGATGCAGGGAAGGGATAAGTCTCCTGGAGCATACCTGAAGCACCTCTTAGAGGCTTTCAGAACTTATACTCCCATTAATCCAGAGGCCCCAGAGAATCAGATGGCCATCAATATGGCTTTCGTGAATCAGGCAGCTCCAGGCATAAAATGAAAACTTCAAAAGCTGGAAGGTTTCGAGGGCAAAAACCTTTCTGAGCTGATGGTGGTGGCAAACAAGGTATTTAACAATAGAGAAACCCCTGAAGAAAGACAAACTAAAAGGTTGGTTAGGATATTGTTGGCTGTTGGCTGAAAGAGCGATGAATCCCAAATGGGGAGACCAACCCCCTATGAAAAAGGGAACCCGAGCCCCGCAACCCCCACAGGAAGGTCAGCCCGCCTAAAAAGAGACCAGTGTGCATATTGTAAACAGCTGGGCCACTGGGCTAGGGAATGTCCTCAAAGGACGAGATCCCAGTCTCCATCCAAGCCCAAGATTCACCGAGCTGGCAAAACCCCTGTATGAAGTCCTTCCTATGGACTGAGTCTCAGGACAGGGCTTTTCAAGAAATTAAAAAGGCCTTATTACAGGCTCCGGCCTTCGACACCGGAGCACAATATTCAGTTTTGAAAGAGCCAATGGGAAAATTGAGCAGTAAACACACCTCGGTGCAAGGGGCCATGGGACTCGCTCAACACCCTTGGGCCACCAAAAGGGATGTAAACTTAGGTAAGAAGACAGTTTCACACTCCTTTATGGTGGTCCCAGAGTGCCCATAACCCTTATTGGGTAGGAACTTGCTAAATAAAATAAAGGCTCAGATCAATTTCTCTGGGAGAAGACCTCCTGATGTGACTGTACCTGATGCATCCTGTATCCTGTGTTTACAATTAGAAGAAGAATGGAGAGTACAAGCCCCACCACCTCAAAAGAGACCAACCACTATCCTCAAGGACCTCCAGGCAACAATACCTGGAGTTTGGGTGGAAACTAATCCCCCAGGGAGGGCCATCCAACAGCCACCAATAATGGTGACTTTAAAAACTAATGCTCAGCCTGTAAAAGAGTACCCAATTACTCTCGAAGCCAGGGCACGAATTACCAAACACATAAACCACCTTAGGGAGTTCAGTATTATGGTTCCATGCCAATTTCCATGGAACACCCCTCTCCTACACATCAGGATATCCACCCTACAGTCCCCAACCCGTATACCCTGCTGAGCTCACTCTCTCTGGAGAGAAAAGTCTATACCATTTTAGATCTCAAGGACACCATCTTTAGCCTTTTTCCTTGGCAAAGGAAAGCCAACCCATCTTTGCCTTTGAGTGGCGAGACCTGAACCAGGGGTTTAATGGACAACTCACTTGGACGTGACTGCCACAGGGGTTCAAGAACTCCCCCGTGATCTTTGACGAGGCTCTACATCAGGACTTGCAGGAGTATTGGGCCTCGTACCCAGAGGTAAGCCTCCTACAGTAAGTAGATGACCTGTTGATTGTCACTAAGAATGAAGGCACTTGTCTTCAAGCCACCAGAGATTTGCTCCTGACTTTGGACCGATTGGGGTATAAAGTCTCCACTAAGAAGGCTTAGCTCTGTGTAATGTACTTGGGGTACATTTTAAGGGATGGACAGAGATGGCTGTCACCAGCCAAAAAACAAGCCATTATGGGAATTCCAAGCCCAAGATCCTGCAAGCAGCTGCAAGAGTTCCTGGGATCGGCAGGCTTCTGTCGGCTCTGGATATCCGGATTCGCCAAGCTGGCAAAACCCCTGTATGAAGCCACTCGAGGGAATGAGTCATCCTTCCTATGGACTGAGACTCAGGAGAGGGCCTTTCAAG